ACTATAGACACCTAGACCACATGGAAAAAAGGATTTTCTCAAAGGAAGTAGAAAATATAACGTTGCACACACTGTCCAACAACTCCTTCTTCTAGTAAAGGGCAATAAATATGCCACATGAAATGATCTCAGCACAAAACTGTAAGTAAATTTGGTAACTCAGGGAAATTGGGCCTTTGTCTATACTGGCTCAGTAAAAAGCCTTCATTTTATAATTTGTGGCCTGTCTGGTTATAAATTAAGATGCACTGAGTTATCAAGTAATGTACTTTCCCAGTCTGTGGATGAGAATTTATACCAAAATAGGTTGTAATATTCCTCCCAAAAGCAACTTGGGGTCATTGCCTTTTAGATCTGAAGTAAAAAGTAAATGATTTTAGGTAATTAGATAGGACTGTTTTTGGATGTTTGCCTGAGAAACCAATTAAAAATTGTAGTTTTCTTTTGCATGATAGGAATGCATTCAAGCCTGTTGAGACAAAATAATGGAAATTGATGAGTAGTAATATACAACATAAAAAGACTGTAAGAAATGGTCTGGTGGCAAGGAAACTGGGTTTATAACTATTGTAGTCATCTAGAAATAAGGAAAACCAATAGAAAAGAGAAATGTTGAGAATGGAGATGAACTAACTGATAGATTTCAAAAGAAAGTTGTAAAATATGAGCTGAAGAGGGAGGTATTAATAATTATACATTTTATATACTAGAATACAATGGCAGGATCACTGAAAGAAAGCTGGTTTAAAGAGGAAAGATAGGGCCCTCCATGGTGGTGCAGTGGGTTAAAGCACAGCACTATGAAGTTATCACAGCCACTGCAGCACGAATTCGATCCCCGGCCAGGGAGGTGACCCACATTGCCATCCCCTGCTCCCCTCAGCAATGTATTTCAGTGAAATACACTTTGGTTAAGGTTGTTGCATATACAGAACTGGGATTCTATTTAGAAGGCTGAAGTAGTAAATTTGTCACTTATATCCAACTAAAATTTATAAGGGAGATAAACTGGAGGTCTAAGTTAAGAACAATAGATCCTTTCTTTTAAGATGAGATGTGTAAATTATTTGATGCATGTGCAACTTTAAACATTTCCAAAACTGAATTAAAACTGTCCGTTTTTTCTTTAAAGTATCATATCTCAAGCCTTTAAGAAAATTTCTACACTCCTATCAGCTATAAGGGTCAAATGACTAAAATGTTAGTATTTTTGAAACTTACTTTTGCTTCTATTAATAAAACAAAGATGTTTCCCAGTACTAACTGAGGGAATGGAATTGAGAACTTAAAGGTACAAGTAATTCAATTAAAATTTTGTAAAAATTGATGTGGTTTAATGTCTCAATTGGAAAAGCAATTTATTGAATTGTGGGAAATGTGCTGGTCTCTCATTTTAAGAAACACTACAGCACAAAGACCTGGCAACTGGCTGAAAGCTGTAATAATGAACAGATATTTGAAAACCAGGAAGACAAGTTTTCCAAGAGTGCAACTGTGACATTTCAAAAGAGATATAATAAGAAATTCCGGAAGATGGCCAAAAATAGGTCTAGATAATTGAGATTCCTTATTTGTTTTTGATGGAGAAACACAGTTAAGAGGAAATTAAGATTCTAAGAGCCCTGAAACTTTTTCTCCTCACCTTAAAATCATACTTGCCTCTGAATAAAAGTTTCAGCCAAGAAAATCAAATAGGAATTCAGCATTTCTTAAATAGTATGAAGGAGTTTGCATTCAAGGGGAAGAAGAAGGCATTCAAGCCTGTCGAGACAAAAAGTTTTTCTAATTAATTGAAAGCAAGTATTTTGCTTTTTTGGAGCTAAACCTTGTTTTGTGGGATTTTTATATAGAAAACCTAATTATCTTGCTGTTTACTTTATTGCTTGCCATGAAGAATAGCTACCAGTCATTAGAAAGAAATTCCAGTTTTTAATTAACATGTTCTATTTTAATGTGTAAGGAAATCTAAATTGTTAATATGTATTTCCAAAATAAATTTTAAAACCTCATTGTGTAGTGTGTTGACTATAGACTTCAACTCTTGAACCTTTTGATTAATCCAATTTCAGTGTAGCTATGACTGCAGACTATTCAAAACTGGAAACATCTTTTTTCTGTATTTCCATCCTAGTTACATCTGTACATGCCGTCCTGCAAACTTGTATCATTTCATGACTTATGGAGGTAAGTTAAGATTTAATATTGATTATGGTCATATAACATTCATTCTGAACTTGTGTTCCCTGACTTTCTTTAATTACTAAGTATTCTTCTATCATTACATTATTATTAGCAAAATACATATATTCTAGTTTTAACTGGGCTATTTTTGTATGACTTTCAACTGGCTATTATTCGTATACATCTCCTCTTCTATGATTACCCAAGTAAACTTCTAATAGAAAAAGACCATGAGTTTTCTGTAGTTTTTCAACTTGAATCCATTCTCAGACTCTCTCTCTATATATATATTATCCTCATCTGCTATAATTCTTGATTTTTCCAAGTCCCTTTTCCATGTCACTACAGTGTTCCAAACTTTCAGTTCAGTTTGTTAGAGGTCCAGCATTGTGGGGAATATAAAGAAGAGGAGAAAGCACAGTACCCATCCTCATCTTGAATGAACTCATGGAACTTTGTGCCAGACTTTCTTGGGGGTCTCTTAATACAAGAAGGGTAAGGCAGATGTCTTCAGTTTGGTTTCCAACTTGAGAACCCAAAGAAATATAATTTCTTACCGAAGTGTGAAATGATGAAAAGTAACATGGAATAGAGCATCTCATAGCTTAGATAATATGAAGGCATGCTTTAAGCTAAGTGCAAGGTTTTCTTGTGAAAATTTTCACAACTTTTCGTCTCTAATAGGCCAAATAGAAGACCTAATAATTTTTGAGGTAATAATTCTGTGGCAAATCCCCTAATTATGGCTTCTTACTAGGTGACTGGTATTATAGAAATCTAAATAGTAACATTTTCATATCATCTATTTGTTGTTTTTTTTCTTAAAACAGTTAAGTTTTCTTTCACATGGTCCTTTGACCCCGGAAAAATAATGAAATTTCCTTAGTGTTGTCTCACATTGCTAAACTTGTTCTTAGAAATCGATTTTCCCAGCACAGGAAAACTAATAGAATATAAGCAGTTTCAAGTATTCTTTTTTTTTCAAAGATTTATTTGTGCATACAGAACTGGGGTACAGGCCAGAGGTGCAGGAGCTGTGAGAGGATTCACCAGAGACAGAGTGGGGAGCAGAACAGGCAGATCGTTGAAGTACACTGCTGAGGGGAGCAGCGGGCGGGTCAGGAGAGGTCTGCTGCGCCATATGGATCACCTCTGGGGCAGGCGGGGATCGAACTCATGCTGAAGTGGCTTTAGCTTTGTAGTGCTGTGCTTTAACCTGCTGCGCCACTGGGCAGGGCCTCAAGTATTCTTATTTATTACCCAAGTAAGGTCTCTGGTGATAAAATCACTATTATTTATGATGAAGAAGCAATACAAATTTTATAAAGCAAAGCTGAAGTTTGTAGGCTGTAAACAGTGTATTAGATAAATTAGAAAGAGGTTATGATTTCCTAAATCACTTATTTCTCAAGCTGCTTTCCCCCCTTTTTGTATTATTTCAGTAAAAAGTGTGAAAGTAGTCCAGACTCATTCTGACTTTACCAAACCTAAGAACTCTTTGTAGTTATATTGAATCCAAGAGAAAACTTCAATATTAAGAGCTCTTTTTCAGAAAATCTTTGTAAAGAGAATTTCCAATCAAGGTTCAGGAAAATAAGCTGAAACCTTTAATTTCTTATCAGAAATTAAACCACGAGTAGTTGAAAAGAGCTGAAACAAGCAAGTGGAGTGGGAGAATAGGGGGATCCCAACTACAGATAGTATCATAGCACTGTCCAACCTTAAATATCATTGTAATGAATTAAACTTGTATACATGAGAGATATGATAAAACAGTTTTCAGCGTGGCTGGCCAAAGCAGGCTTGCATCATTACTTTTCTCATCATTTAAAATAAAATTGACAAAACAATTCAGTCAAGAATAATTAAGTGGGTCCCATGTTAGTCTTCCTGAAGCAACTTTTTAATTTGCCTGTGTTGCATCTAACATAGCCTTGTTTCCTTCAAACTACATTTTGCCTGTCTCTTTTAAAAGTACAGTTTTTGCCTATCTTCACATCAGTTATTGTCTTACTCTATTTTGTAGTGAACACAAGAAACTACCAAAATGACATTGATGGAGGGCTCCAAATGAGAAAATATCTTAAAATATTTACTAAATAAGCTCAATCTACTTTAATTTCCTTAATGAATTAAATATATATATATGAAGTGTTTATATATATGTATATAGATATATATGTACACACACACACACATATATATTGTGGTTACTCTCTCCTTTTAAAAACCACTTTAGTGAGAATGCATAACTTTTGAAAAATATTTAATTAAAGACCAAAGTTATTGTAATTTAAATCCATTACCAATGTTATGAATTATATTTGTTATAAGGTCTAATGGGAAGATCTTGCAGTATCTCCAATGTCTAGAATAGTACTTGGCAACAGATACAAATAAATATTTATTGAATGAATGTTATGTATTTTTGTTTCCATAGATAATGTTTCTATTAGCACATTAAAAAAAACTTTTAAACTTTTCTCAAATGTGAATGACTAAGAATGTATTAACAGCACTTTATTTGTTTGTTTGTTTAAAGATTTACTTTATTTATGCATACAAGAACTGGGGAACAGGCCAGAGGTACAGGGGGTAAGAGGGTTCACCAGAGACAGAGTGGGGAGCAGAACAGGCAGATCTACTGAAATACACTGCTGGGGGGGGAAGCAACAAGTGAGACAGGAGAGGCCTGCGCTCCATGTGTTAGCTCCCTGGCTGGGGATTGTGCTGCAGTGGCTGCCAATAGCTTCCTAGTACTGAGATTTAACCCCTTGTGCCACCAAGGAGGCCCCCTCAAGAGCACTTTAAAATTTTTCTGAATATTCCTTGCCACACTAGATAATTAGTATTTTTTATTTCCATATTTTTTAATCAGTTGTTTTTTCAGTCCTACCAGCAAAACACTGCAGAGTTGGTGTTACAACATGTGACACATACAATCATATAATCATACCAACTATACTCAACTAGAATAGAAATAAGAGCCAAACATATCCCCAAAACTATGAAAACTAAGTTAGTTTTCTGCAGAAAAGCAATGAGTGCCACCAAAATCTTAACACTTATTTATAGGGCTTTTTTATTATTCGAAATTATTAAATTAGTAATAACATTCATCTTGAAGCATTTTGCACTTTAACCAACTGATCCACTTGAGATACTGTTAGGGCATTTCAACAAAAATATCTTCCCCACAACCTAGTACACCAATGTACTAAAAAGTAACTAGTACACTAGTTACTAGTATATTTCTGGAATACAATTTCTTTACTGAGTTAAAAGAGGTTTCACAGGAAGTAAATTGTGTCCTCATGCCTTTTTAATAGTCCCTTTAACACCTCCAAACACACACACATTCAATTTTTCAGGTATAGCATCTTCCTTTAAAATAAAAAATGCATGTGGTAAAAATAAATGTTCCTCTCATACCTAGACACCATTCATCCAGTTCCCTGTCCCTAGGTGACATGTAGCTTTGCTGAAAATTCTATGCACAAGTATCTTTTCCATTTATATTCTACACCTTGCTTCTCTACTTATAAAGTATTTGACAATACATACTAGTTTATAAACTGCTCTCATTCTTCTTAAAGACGGTAGGGTATTTCATGATATAAGTCATAACTTATCCACTCCTTACTGACTTTGAACTTCAATGTTTTGCTGTTAGGATTACTTGAGTGTTGAGTTCCTTGAGAATGACTCGTCTTATTTTTTAATATTGAAAAGTTAGTATAGTGTCCAACCATTTAACAGGTGTTTATGAATGAACAGTACTTAGTGTGTGCAAAGTACTTGGTGCTCTTTGACTTAATGTCTCCTAGTATTTGAAATTACATAAGAGATTCACTAGATCTGTTATATATTTTGCATTTGATAGAGGTGGTTCAAAAACCAACAAATATAAGTATAAATAGTAACAAGAGTGGTAATTCTCTTACTAAATGTTAAGCACAGTGCTTTACAGTGTTAAAAAGTATACAGTGCATTCAGCTCACATTCAAAATTGTTTTTATGCTGACATGCAAGTCAGTATAGAACAAAGGCCTGAGAAAGAAAGAAAAAAGTACAACTGGAAATGGGCCATTCATATTCTTCATTACTGAGTTACTAAGTGCCCACCATGTGCCAGGCAATGTGTCAAGTACTTATCTCCTTTAACTTTCACATATCATTTAATGGAGACCTACTTATTACCCCATTTGATGGAGTAAGTTGAAGGAAGCTTAAATTACTTGTCTAAATCACATAGCTAAGTGATTTGGGTTGGAAATCAAGCAGCCTGATTCCAGATTCCATTCTTGAAAGCTATGTTAAGGGTTCAGGAAGAAAAGAAAGGAAAAAGAGGCGCTTAAGGTAGAAGGAACATGTGCCAAAGCACCAGGTGTACAGTGTTATTTTGAAAGTGGCAGCAGTTAGCAGGCCTGAGCACTGTTGAGGTGTTAAGGTGTTAGGAGGCAAGGCCAAAAAGTTAAGCTGAGGACCTATCTCACTAAGATATGTTCTAAATATAGGAATTTCCAAACCAGAAAATACAATATCCTTTTACTCTAAAAGAGAACAAAGAACCTAGTTTGTTTTTCTTAGATTGCTCTGGTATTGATTGGTAGTCTCTGTTTTCAGTATTTTGTTCACGGTAAAAGCTTCACATCTTTTTTTTTCTTTGAAAGCTATAGCATTCAGTTTTGTCTTCAGATTACTGTCCTAGTGCTGACAAGTTGGAAGCCTTCCATTAATAAAGTGTCAATCAGTAAGCCGAGGACATTAGTTCCATTGGCCAGTTTTCGGTTATCAGGTTTTATAGAAACATACCTAGGGCACACAAAAAATGTCTAATTATAAAGCATCCTTTTAATAATAAAACTAAACATAAATTTGACTTATACCACAAGTAAAGGTATTGTACATTATACCATTTTCAGTCATATTTCTTGGAGGCTTCATTTACAAATCCAAATCAGTAATTTCAGAGTACTACAAAATAGTTTGCTATGATCTGAAAAGTCACTGTAATTCCACCTTTAGGACTAAGTAAAACATTGATGATTTTTTTTACTTAATCTTAACTGAGGTTAATATTGGGGTATCCCCACCATAGAGCACCCACCACAAGCCATTATGCCTCCCTCCTTCCCTGTTGTTTTCCTTTCACCATTCTCTTCCCCCAATGGCATTTCAGTTCTGTAGACAGCTATCAAGGGCTAGTTTTTCAACTTGTCTTTGACTGTTATTTTAGTTATTTTATATTTCACATAATGGTGACATCATCCAGTATTTATCTTTCTCCTTTAGACTTATTTGACTTAGCATTATCCTTTCATTGAGATCTAATTTTATTGAGCAAAAAAATTTGATCAATTAGCATTCTTTATAATTTAACAATTTCCAATTTTTGTTTTTGTTTTCAATTTAATCAAACTCAATCATTTTGATCAAACATGCATTTATATTTTTCCCCCTCATCTAATTTTACACATCACTTGCACCCATATCAAGTCCATTGTTGAGCAAAAATGTCAAAAGGTATCTGGAGTCAAACAAAATTATTTTCTCAAGAAAACTCAATTGGACCAAAGCATAATTCAGGAATATACCTAAACTTTTAGATTAGCTACATGTTAACTTTAACGGTGTCAACATGTCCTCATAAAAATAGCTGTATTTTCTTCTTTATCTGCCAGCAAGGGTAATTTTTTTCTGTCCTTCAATGCTTTTTTATTTTATTTAAATTTTTTGTATGTTTCTTTTTACATCATTTTGTACATTTTTTTTCATCTCAGTTGTACTCCCTGTGGGCTTCCCATCACCAAATCACCCTGTGCCATCACCATAGTCCAGTGCATTTCCCTTCCCCCAGTTTTTGACCCCATTCCCCACTCCACTCCCATAAAATGTCTCTAGTCTATAGCTTCATTATTATTTTCTCACCTGGTTTATTATACTACTATGAGTGAAACCATCCAGTACTTTTCCTTTTCTTTCTGGCTTATTTCACTAAGCATGATCTCCAGCTCCATCCATGTCAGCAAGGGTAATTTTCATGTCTTTCTGTTCTCCCATCATTTCTTTATGCGATGTGATGTTTTCCTTTTCTTTCTGGCTTATTTCACTAAGCATGATCTCCAGCTCCATCCATGTCAGCAAGGGTAATTTTATGTCTTTCTGTTCTCCCATCATTTCTTTATGCGACGTGATGAAGTTTTAACTCAGTCTCAGGCAACAACCTAAAAGCTAGCTGTAGTTTTATGGGATAAAAAGCCTTGGGGAGATCGTTCACTAACTTCCTTTTAACGATTAATATGATTGCATTTAGAAATTCATTGTAGGCAAAAACTCCTTGGTAAAATGTAAAAACTATAAAACTTGCAAATGTTTAGTTTGGTACAGCAAATTTTTTACCAGTAAATCAGTGTATCTACTCTCCAGCCCCAATCTTGACTGTTTAACTTAGAATCATTTGTCAGTGAAAAAAAGCTACAGATTATCTCACAAAATTAAGATATAAATAGTAACACAGCAGGTGATAAAATAGAATGTATTTGCAAGAAATCATGAGTCAAGGACTTGACTCCTTGTAAGGACAAATTGAGAAATGAAGTGTTTCAAGACACCAGAAACCAAAGGGAAATAGAAAATTAATGAGGGAATTTGAAAAGGTCAGAACAAAGTCTATCAGAGATTCCAAGTCCTGTGACCATTACTTGAGCTTGATAATGTGGTGCCATTTGAATGCGCATCTGCAAGATGTGAGTCAAGTATTTCCAATACTGTAACTGAGCAACCCATTGGGTTAACAAGATATTAGGGTGGTAAATCATGTTAGAGGAACATTCTTAAAAATTGGATGTTAGACTAGTAGGTGCCATTAAGACTTGGTTATATACTTTCCACTTCCTAAAAATCTAGAAATAGACAGGTACAGATGGTGTGATTAGTGAAAACTGTTGACAGCTAAGCCATTATATACCTAAAGTGGGTCTTTTAAGGTCAGGGTTCATCTGATCACCAGAAATCCCAATCACTTTATTTTTACTTTGAAACTGACACTCTGTTCAAATTAGGAAAATTTTCCAACTTCAAACTATTATAAAGAATACTATCCTGTGATGCAAAAAAATTTTTTAAGACTTGGTTTTGAAATTACCAACTTTGTATGTTAAACGTAATGTCATTCTCCTGTTAAAGTAAAAAACACATTCTAAAACACAAACACTTAACAGAAAGGAAATCACCTGGCACTGTACAAGACTGTCTCAATTTGAGTTTCTAATCTTGCTCAAGATTAGTTTTCTCCAAATGCATATTCTTTTAAAGAGCATTTAATAGTTAACAGGATACCACTTTACTGTTTTTTCTTAATGTTTCTTCTTAAAAGTGGTTCTAACTTTATAGAAAAGGATTCAAACCTTTAAAAAAAAGGATCATTTCCCTTCTGTTTGTGTCACTGCCCCACCAATGAAAATTGTGCAGACATAGATAGCACATAGTTTGAGGTAGAGACTTAAGTTCTCTTCACAATCAGTTTCTCTTTTACCAAAATGACATTTCATACTCTTTGAAAAGACAGAAAATTATAAAGTGTGAAACATAACTGTTCTGTTGCCCAGTGAGCAGGACCAAGGAGTCTGTTGTGAGAGGTATACACTGGTCCTTCCTAATGGCTAAAGCCATCCCAAGTATGTCTTACCTACTCTTTCCCATTTTAAAAAATGTATTACTGTTTAAATACTATTGAGTATTAAATTAAAGCTAACTTTCACAGTGAAATAACAGTGGGGCAGTATTAAGATATACTGAAGGGGGGGGGAATGTGTCATTAATAGAAATCCGCTATTGGGTCCAACCAAGAACATGGGGGGGGGGGGCGGGAAGCGAATAAACCCCAGAAGCAACTATCTTTAAATACTGACCATTTACCCCAATTTTGAGTTGTCTATGCGTGCCAAAGATGTAACGGTAACAAATTAGATGTAACGGTAACAAATTAGCAATGGAACGTATCTATATCTTCCTTTGTTGTGTTTCAAAATAAAGTAGAAGGGAAAAAAATCAGTAGTCAAAAAGACTGAAAAAAAAAAAAATAAGGAAGTCAGGAAAAACTGAGCATTTATACTTACTGTATCCCAGCCACTCAAAGAATCTCTCTTGGGGCAAACAAATTCTCATTCCTAAACCAAATTCATTCCAATGAAACATAATGTATAAAAATTATTTATTCCTGTAACTTAAATGACCATAGTTCATTTTCCCTCGACAGTCTTCATTTATTTGTCGTCTCACACAGCAGCAGTTCTTTCACTGTGAAAAGTATTCCAACTTGAATAGTTTTTGGTCATTTTACCCAACTCTCCCGGTTACCCCATTACCTTGAGTAATCATTTTTCCAAGTTTCAGTCATGAAAATCTTTGTTTATTAGAGGAAACATCAAGAAACTGATAGAGAGGCTTCAAAGTACAAAATACCTGACTCCAGTTTGGTTATCAGTCGTGCTGTCACAGCCACACTGGAGAACCAGGTCATGGTAAGAAGGCTTTTGTGGAGGCAGTGGAAGTAAGTTGATCTGCGGATGGAGGGAGTCACTACTCCTGGCTGGTGCTGAAGATTGCTCTGTAAATACTGTAATCCTCCCAGTCAGCATGTCAATTGTTCTGCTGCAAGAGCCAAATACTCTGAAAAAAGCCTGAGTATTTCGATTTAGGAAATGCACCTTCACAACAGCAGGTCTTTGCAGTAGTAAGTGTTCTTGGTTTAACACATCAACCAGAAAATCAAGTTCATAGAAAAGAGCCTCTCTCCAAAGCCTAAGGTAGTCTGAAAAATCAGTGGGCAATAAAAGCTGGTGAGTTCTCAAAAAGTCTTAAGATATGACTAAATAAAACACCATCTCTGTCCACAAAAATCTGGCCACCAACCATCTGGAATTCTTTGTCTCTGCCATCTAACATTCGTGCCAACCTAGAAGCAGGAAACTGCCTTAAGGTAGAAAATCTTGTTGTGAATATCTTCCCTCCCACATTCAAAGTAACCAGTTCCTGACTACTCATTCTCTTCAAACTAGAGGCTACAAACTATTAGTTGCAGGCGTATAGGAATTTGTAAATCAACCTGTAACTGTGTGTTACTAATTAATATATATAGAAATATATATGATTAAGAAATGGAGGGGAGGGGAATACAACAAAAAGAGAGACCTACATTCTTAACTTGTATAAAACAAATAGTGTATCCATAGCTGTGTTTGCAAATTTTAGTTGCTTGGGAACTTTAAGTACACAAAATAAAAAACAGATGAATTGAAGTGTTTAAAATAAAACTTCCAGTGTACCTGAAGTCAAATAGATCCCTTTTCTGTATCCCTTAAAGAAAGAAATCCTGCTGTAAATTAGTGTGTGTGTGTGTGTAGATAGATAGATATAGGAAGCAGAAAAGCACTTACCCTTGCCAGGCCACTTATCATAGCCAAAGATTTACAGAGAAACACTTGTAATTCCTTATGATCCCCTGAGCTATTTAAAGACTAAATCATGAATTGTCAGTTATGGATAACAGTCATTACTCAACTTTACTTGACTGCTCATAGCTAGAATATCTGTCTCTTTAAATTTAGTTACTACCTATTTTTCCCTGTTCTCACTTGTACTACCTCCTCTCAACCAAATTAAAGGATCAGAATAAAGATACTCGGCTTTCAAAGCAATGTTTTGTAACATGACAGAAGCAAGCAGCAGCAAGATCAGATCACTTCTTGTTTTCATCTTTCAATAAGGAAAATAAACCCTTGTAGAAAAATTTGGAAATACAACCCACCCATATTTTCTTTCCTTTTTAAAATATTCATGCCCCCAAAAAAGGTTATTTTATCAAAGAAGCTTGTATTACAGACTAAATGGTCACTGTTGTTACCCATCAATGGAATAGTTCACATTATGTGTTCTCTCACTGCCCATTCTTTATAAGCAAACACAACCAGTACGGGGGGGGGGGGTAGGGTTTTTATTTCAAAACTAGTCTTAAAGAGAGGAACTATACTATATTTAAATCTTTTCTTTATGCTTTCTAGTTTGAATTATGTATAGGACCATATTTTTGAAAAGAATCCTTCTGCAGGAAAACAATCTGACTGGAATCTTAACTGTCATTCTATTGGCTAACAAATATCTAACAAAGAACAGGAACTATGTTGGTGAAACAGATTTTATAAAAGTTTATATTTGCACACAAATTCTGCCACACTGTTCAGCACCACCAAGGTAAAATTCTTAAAATTTTCACTGAAAATAAAAAACTCATTTGTCACCTGTTGCCAGTAAAAACCTGACTGTTCTACAAAATCAGCTGAGTTAGTCAGATAGGAACTAAAGTTTGAAAGATAGTCTTTCCAAGTTGTGGCTTCATCAAATAAAGACCATTCAAGGAATACAGTAGGATCAAAGAAAATGAGAAAGACGAGCAGAATTACTACCGCAAATAACTGAGAAAAGCTCCAGGGAATCTTGGTAATGAATGTGCCAGCGTCTTGTGGCAAAGAAAGTTTATCCACATCTGCTAGTTTTATGTCTTCCCACTGACTGGTATCAAAATTCTTCATTAAAGGGCTCGTGGGCAAATTAGAGGGGGGTAAAGGAGTTTCCTTGATTACTTTGATTTTCTCCCTGAACTCCTGCATCTGTTGCAGAAATACAATGGGCTCTGACACGTCTTTGAAAGCTTCAGCAATGTTAAAGGCCATTCGTTGCTCCTGTAAAATGGTATTGAGTTTGTTGATCTCCGGGTCATAGGCTTGCATAACTGCAAGTTTCATGGTCTCAAAGTCAGACAGGATTTCATTTTTCTTTTGATCCAATGTGTGTTGTAACTTCTCAAAAAACTCCTTCACTTTATCTGAATCTTTAGTTAGTAATTGTAGAGATTTCCTTTTGCTAGTTTCCAAGGTATCCAAACGAGAAAGAGCATCTCCCCTCCGCCAGGTCTCAAAGCTCTGGAAAAGGGACTCAAAGGCATCCCTTTCCTGAACATAGGCATCTTCAATAGAACAGAAGACATGCTTAGTATGGTCACCACGAGTAGCACAGATCCCACAAATCAGCTGCATATCAGTCAAGCAGAAAATGTTGAGAGGCTGCCCCAGGTGTCCTTTGCATACTGGCATTTTGGGAGAGATCTTGATCTTGTTATACTTTTCCACAATACCCTTCAGGGAGTAATTAACCTGCAAGCTATTGACTCCAGTAGCTGAAGTTTCCTTACGGCACGTGGGACACTTGAAGGGAGATGATCTCCACAGTGAATTCCGCACACTGCCCTCTAAGATCCCTTCTAAGCATTTTTTGCAAAAGTTGTGTGAGCAAGGTAAAACTCGAGGATCATCAAACAGGCTGCAACAAATTGGGCACGTGAGATCTTCTTCAAGCAGCTCCATCACATCCTACCATAGAGAAAGAAACATTTTTACTCCAGTTATCTCCCCTTCCTATGTAATTAATTTTAAGAAATTGTCTTCACAGACATTAAAAATGATCTTTAAGTGAACCAGGCAAAGAAATGTGAGAAATTTAGGAAGGGAATGCAAGCCCAGCAGATTAAATCTGCTAAGGTCTAGAACACTGCTCCTTATTAGTAGGGATCCCTGTACACAAAGCCTTTGTGTGGGCTTTCCAACAACAGTCTTTGCCTGAGACAGGGTTAGGACTAGGACAACTGTAAGTTGAGCCAGTACGACTCAACTGATTGTTCTGAAACAATGCCAATTACTAGCTGTCAGAAACAAAGCTACTCAGTGTCTAAGTAAGTAGAATGAGCTCTTTAGTGTGAGTCCACAATTATAAAATGGTATGCTATTTAAAAGAAACCAGCACAGAAATAATAAATCTAAGCATGTACTCTCATGTAGACTCCTAGTGAAAATTTTTTTGTTTCTTATTTTCTGTTCATATTTTCTCTGTTTCAAAGGCAAGATTACAATTATTAAAGTAATAGGTAGGAAGAGTTGCAATTTACTCTTCCCTGGAGAATTAAATGTGTTTTGTGTTTAAGCACCAGAATGTTTAAAGCCATCTTGTATGATACAGAACATCAATTCTCAAAATGTGGTAGGCAGAAACCTGGGTGTCCCTAAGACTCTTTCGTGGCATCCATGAAGTCAATACTGTTTTCATAAAACCACTAAGATGTTATGTGCTATTGGCACCATGCTGACAATTGCACTGTAAAAGCGATGGTGAGCAGACACTGCTGGAACCTTGCCAGGTGTTACCAAGCCCATTGGTAACACCAAACTCTGTTAGTATTGAATTCATGAATCTGTAGTGGGTGATGACCAGAGTTACTTAAGAATGTTCTCAATGAACCAGTAAAAACTACTCATTGAACTTTGATCCTTGTGTATGTGTCTTAAATAATTTTATGACAAAACAGAAGTAAACACAAAGCATTTCTGCATACCAGCAGACATTTATCTGGAGGAAAGGCAATTATTATTATTATTTTTTAAAGATTTATTTATTTGTGCTTACAGAACTGGGGTATAAGCCAGAGACTCAGGGGTGGTAAAAGACTTCACCAGAAAGGGGAGGGCAGAACAGGCAGATCAATGAAGTACACTGCTGAGGGCAGCAGCGGGCGGGTCAGGAGAGGTCTGCCACGCCATGTGGTCACCTCCGGGGCAGGCAGGAATCGAACTCATGCGGAAGTGGTTTCAGCTTCTTAGTGCAGTGTTTTAACCCGCTGCGCCACCAGGGAGGGCCGGAAAGGCAATTATTTACATGATAGACCTGTGTGCTGAACTAGCTACTTTTTTCATGAAATACCATTTTTATTTTAACAATAAATGACGAACTATGGCTATTCAGACTTCAGTCTCTGGCAGACATTTTCCAGAAAGTGAACAAATGAGCCTGTCACTTTAAGAAAAACATATGACAGTACTTCTTGCCAATAATACAAGTTTTGGTTCTGAATGCAAATTATAATTTTGGAAAACTTATTTCCTGCTTCTACGCTTTGTAGTTTCCCATTAATTATTTTCCTAGTGATGTAAGTGTAGCATTTTAAGTAGTGATATTAACGAATGTTGGGTTTTTGGTTTTTTCTAGGGGAGAGATATATAATGAAATATATCAATATTTAAAGGGCTATATACACAGTGACTCTACTGACTCAAAAAATCATGACATTATAAATCATACTTAAGTAAAAAATCAAAAGACCCAATGTGTTAAAAAAAACAGGAATTTCAGATTCCATACTACAACTAATCTTTAAGAAAACACCATTTGCTAGGTTTTGGTATAATATCAAAAAGATGATTCACATTATCAGAAAAGGCTATAAAAACATTCTTCCCTTCAACACTTATCTGTGCAAAGTGAGATTTGATTTTCTTTGTATATTTCAATCAAAATAATTTACTACAATAGGTGTAATGCAGACACAGATAAAAGGTGTCCAGTTGTCCCCTATTAGTCATGGAATAGTCATTTAATAAAAGTCTATAAATATAAAAAGTAATGACTCCTCACAACTGTTTTGAAAGTTGTTTTTCTCATATTAGCATGTCAGTTTATCATTATTTTAAATTAACACCTTAAATCTTGTTTCAATTTCTAATACAGTAAATATATGTATACAGGACACATATAACTAAAAATTTCTTGGGATCCTCAAATTTTGAGAGTATCAAAAAGGGCCTGGAGACAAAACTATTTGAGATCTGTCACCCAGGGAATATCATTTCTTAATTCAACTTTACTACTTTAAAAATAACATTTTGAAAGTCCCACCTCTTGATTTTTAAAACCAAAAATAGTATCTCTGTCCTCATATTGTTTATTGGGGGATATATGAAATATATAGCATTAGCACCGAAGTAATCAATGAAATAGGATCTAATAATCCATAGGCCATTTTATAATCAAAACAAATAATTTAACTAATTTCAAAAGCTGAAGTGGACTTATAGAATACATATAATATTTAAAACAAACTGAACTTGCAAGGCTAAATATATTCTAAGACATACATATGTAATAAAGATAAACATGTAGTGTAGAATTAAAGCAAAGGTTCTGTCAAATTTAGTATCCTCTGGCAAAAAAAAAAAGTGTTATCTGATTTTTCTGAACAGTCTTTTTTGACATAAATGATTCAACCTTTGAAAAGCATTATGAAGAAAATGGTTATACATGGGATTAGTGTACATCTAAGAGAAATTATCAAACAGATGTAAAGCATCATAAGAACAGAGAGAAAAACTTTTAATGATCTTCCTGTTTCCCCTCATATCCACTGCTCGTTGTCATCCTTAAACTAAGAATGCAATGCTGAGGCTACATTTTTAGTAAGCAGTAAAAATACAAATAGTGGGGTCAGCGCTTAATGAAAGCAAATCTAATTTATTCATCCTTGCAAGATTAGTATTTCCAAAAGAATCCCATGCAGGCACATTAAACAGAAGGATATGAAAAAGACCAAGTGGTTGGGCTAGGAGAAAAAATAAGGGCACTTGAGGTTACAAGAACCTTTGAAGAAAACTGAGAATATTGTAACAGAAGCCAAGAAGAATTTTAAGGCAATCAGCTATGATCAAAAGGAAAACATCACACACATGAAAAATTAGAAAGTCATTCCAAAGCCACAATCAATTTATGGTTCTTAAAATAAACCAGAGGGGGGAAAAATACTACTGGTAAAATCCTTTTTAAAAAAACCACCAAAATTATGGCCGATCCTGTCTATTTTTTAAGATTCATTCTATTATGCATACAAGAAGCATGGTGCAGGGTGGGTGTGGGGGGCACGGGGGTGAGAGGATTCACCAGAGATAAGGGTGGGGAGCAGAACATGCAGATCTACTGAAACAGGGTAACACAAGAGAGGTTTGCTGTACCATGTGGTGTAGCACCCTGGCCCAGGGTTCCAACTCATACAGCAGTGGCTAGCAACAGTTTCATAGTGCTGAGACTTGAGGTTTATAATTTAAAGATTTTTATTATCATTATCATTGTTTATCCTCTTCCTATAGCTTTATCTAACCTTCTTTATGACAAAACTTATCATTTTCACAGCTAACTTTCAGAGAAACGTTGAGATCATATAAACCTAATCCAAGCCATGAATTTGATGCCTCAAAAGGGTTTTAGTCCCACTAAGTTAAAGGTATACTTCACAGGAAAGGAATTTATAGATCCTTTTCTTAAAGTGCATCTAACACATAAAAATATGAAGAAATCAATACAGCTTACTCACTTAAAGAAACTAATACACACCACCCCTCTTTTAGGGAAGCAAATTTTTTCCCCAATATAGAAAGCTGAGACTTTATATGGACAAAATTATTCTCTAGTTAAAATTTTAATTTAGGCCCTCCTTAGTGGCACAACAGTTTAGGATGCAGCACTGCAAGAGAGCCACTGCCACTTCCGTGCGAGTTCAATCCCAGGTCCTGGAGGTGATCTCATAGCGCAGCTAGACCTCTCCTATAATCACTGCTCCCCTCAGAGGTGTACTTCACTGATCTGCCTGTTCTGCTCCCCACTCTGTCTCTAGTGAATCCTCTCACGTACCTCCCAGGCACCTCCTGCCTGTACCCCAGTTCTGTATGCATAAATAAAAAAATTCTTATAAAAATTTTTTAAAAAGATTTATTTATTTATGCATACAGAACTGGGGTACAGACCAGAGTGCAGAGGTGGCGAGAGGCTTCACCAGAGACAGAGTGGGGAGCAGAATAGGCAGATCGATGAAGTACACTGCTGAGGGGAGCAGCGGGCGGGGTCAGGAGAGGTCTGCTACGCCATGTGGTCCTCTCCGGGACAGGCGGGAATCGAACTCATGCGGAAGTGGCTTTAGCTTCTCAGTGCTGTGCTTTAACCCGCTGCGCCACCAGGGAAGAACTATAAAAAAAATTTTAATGTGTCAAAGTGTATACAAGCAAACAAGTTTTCCAAGATTTTTCCAATGTGTTTCGGAATACCAATGCCTAAAATTTTGAAACTCAACCAATTTAAAATGTCCCCAGGTTTGTACCAACAAAGAAAACAGTCAGAAATATCCCATTGTCTGCCACCTCTGATTTCTTCAAAACAGTTGTAAAACATCTGACTCATAATAATATGGCAATTTTGGCAGCCATTATTTGGATGTTTAATATACTTTTAAATTCATGTACAATAAAATTCACTTTCTGACCAATGCATAATTGTATAACACTACCACGTTATTTTTAAGCTATTTTAAATCTACCTGCACTTAAAGGAAGACTATGAAAACTACTTTTTCAATCCTACATTTATAGCAGTAAGTCTCTACAAATAAAAACTATACCGTGACAACCAGAATATTGGAAAAGCCATTGTCGAAAGTTAGAATAAAAGCTAACAGAAGTCCTTTACTTCTAAATGATCAATTTAAAATTATAATACAAAAATG